CAGTTAGTTGCATCTAATTATCTGTGAGCACCCTAATATTTTCTAATCATCAGCATTTTGTGAGCAAAAGACTATATAAATTGCCTTAGTTGATTCCAAGCATTTTGCCATTCCCAGTCAGCTAATTGCGCTCTTTTTCCAATAGCTACTACTTCATTATTAGTAACTATCAACTGCTTTATTTTTTTAAACAAGAGAGACTCAGTCTGGAGTACTTTAAGGGATTTATCACACATGAGTTTTACAAAAAAGGCAACAAAGGAGCAGCAAGTAAGACTTCCTTTTCCTAAACAGAGCAAATTAATGGAGCATTCTTCTATCTCATCCTGATTCTGGACACTCAGCTTGCAATTGTAACTCCAGTTATAACAGTGTTGTCTAAGCTTTAAAAATAGGAATCCTTTTACAAGGTTCTTGCGTCATCTACTTGTGTTCAGGAATGATTTTTGCTTGCTGTCTCTCAATTCTTTCTTTGCTTCCTTGGTATCTTATCATTTCAATAGTAACTACAATTGTTAAGACAACAAACTCAAACTTTGGCAATTCTTGCAGTTCTTTTAAGCTTATAAAAAAGTGCTGATATTTAATTGCACTGCTAGAAATTAGAGGGTTTTTTTTCTGATGGCAAACATCCCTTTGCCTTCAGCCCAGGTTATCTCAACCCTCTTGTCATAATTTTGTTTTACTACCCAAATTCAATCAGACACAAATAGCTCATCTCTGCTTTCAGTTATTAGCTTCTGTGTAGCCAATAATCTGCTTGAGAGCAAGAAGCAAAGCAGGCTTGGATAAAGAGGGGAAAACTAATAACTAATCTAATAAAACTAACAATCATATGCAAACACTCATGTAAAAGAGTTACAAATATGAATGGTTATTCTGCAGATCCCATAATCCTGTGAGGCAAGAGTTTTTGCAAGTAAATGGGATCAGTCCATAAGGTAACAAATTGTCTCTTGAGATCTCTAAAACAAACCAGGAAGTCTTTTTAAAGAAATGCAGAAATTATGGAAGAACTAGGCCAATTGGCTTATTAGATAGTCAAATTGGACATCAGGAGTTAACTGGATACCGTATGCATGTGTGAAAGTATACGTACATTTACATATGTGAGCATATATATGTAGATAAAAATAATTACCTTTATAGATTGCTGCCTCATTTCATTTCATAGCAAACTTCAGTCTGTTGAGATTGTCTTTCCTTCAGCACCTTCGTAAAATGTGACATCCTGATGTTAAATCATACAACTGCTGAGGCCTTCTTATTCTCACAAAACTCTTAGCAACTGGAATGAATATTGGTGTCTGATGTGCACTGTTGACCATCTGCAGAAGCTATGTAAATATACAAGAAATGAAAGGGAGATTTATGGAACCATTATTATGGTCTGACAGCAATATTTCAGTAATGCTTCCTCCTAAGACTTACCTTTGCTAATTTTCATGCTTGTCATTTTGTTTCATTTACATCACAGCTAGAGATGCCTAGCATGCTCAAGACCTAAATATACTGAATTGCAAAGTAACCTAAAGTATGCAAAAACAGATAAAAAGTATGTTCCCTACCACAGTGAGATAATCAATAGAATCACTTTTATGTTCTGTCATGATTTAACATAGCTGTGGGGATTGCAAGCAGGTTTCTCTAGGGTATGAAATTATGCCATCAATTTGTACAAAACTAGTTTTCCTTCAGTATTATAATCACAGTTATTGATGGGACACAAATGATGAGGTGTTTTCTGAAACTCTTTTCAAAATCATGAATTAGCCTAAATCAGCATTTTTAACTAAAATGTCCCCAATAAAGTTCTCAATTTGGGATATTCTCCTCAGATGTTACTCTTTGGAGTTTCCATGTGTGTCACCGAAGGACATGGAGCCATTGAAATTCAAGTTTTAGGTAGGTAATCTTTGTGCTGGCGCATGTATTGATTGCCTTTTATCTACCTGTATATGCATCTGTACAGCATCACTGTCAGTGCTTTTCACCCCAAAAGAACACACAGACACAGTGCAACACGTGATAGCAGTGTAAATTGTGGTTTTAAGTCATAAATTCAGGAGAGGAATTCAGTTTTTCATGCTTCCTGCTCTCTGTGCATAAAGTTCTGCTTAGGAAGTGGACAGAAGTGCTGTTTCATCCTGAAACACAGCGTTGCCTGGCATCATGGCTCACTTTAGTCCTGTATCAGGCAACTGATTGTAGGATGGATGCATGTTTCCCCAAAATGGTCTCCCGCTCTAGTGAAGCATTTACAGTTTCTGCAGTGAAAGGCCAAGATACACAGTTAGTCCAAGTTACCTAGTCTGAGGTTTTCCTAGGGCAGAGAGAGAACTGCTGGCAGTTCCTCCAGCTGAGACTGAACCACTTGGATATTTTTAATTTATCTGAAATAAAAAGTGCTGTGGGTCTCCATACCAGTGAGATACCTGATACTTTTCTCTTAAAATGCTTAATAGACTTTGCTAGAGAAAGAGCCTCCTGTTGGTGATAATGACAGATGTAAATGTCAGGTCCAGAATTTGTATGGCAAGCCCAGGCTTAAGTATAAACACTGCAAATAGCTGCTGGCAGCCTTTTATTTTCAAAGGTCTTGCTTCCTTTGTGACTCACAGGGTTGCCCTGTCTTTGTTAAAGGAGAAAATTTTAAGTTTTAAATTAACACTTACTGCTGTTAAGACAATGTTTACCTTATTGTCAATTCTTGTAATGCCATTCTTATCAGTGTAGATATTTCCTGTACTCAGATGTCATCCTTCTATTCTGGGAAAATCAGACTGGTATGGAGTCTGATATACCTGACATTTGACCCAATACAATTATTCTTTTTTAGAATATGCTTTTTTTTTTCATTTTTTTAGTTTGGAAATTCTAGAGGTCCTTTAGCCAGTGCTCTCTTGAACAATGATATATCTTTCTATCTGACTCTTAAGATTCCTATTTCTTTTCAAAGATTATGTGGTTTCCCTCCATGCTTTTTATATATTTTGTATTAAGAAAGAGACAGCAGAACTAAAAACCTGCTCAAAATGGAGAGTTTATGCTTCTGATGTTGGAATGAAGTCCACAGAGATTGTCTCTTTATCCATTACAGGTGGATAAAGAGATTTTTAGAGTGACTAAAGGTATAGTCTAGTAACAAAACAATTTCTTTCCAAATAATTTTCTATGGCATTTGTGGTTTGTCTTTGTTCTCCTACTCTCCATGACGACCAGTTTTCCTCCAGAATTTTTAAGTGTTTACACGGGACAATCACAAACCAGGGACAAAAACAGATTATTTACCAGTAACTTGAGTTCTCCTACACAACAATTTTCTCTGTAGAACCATTCCATCTCCCGCTCTCCCCAGGTTTCCTATTGAAAGACAGATTTTTCCAGTCAGTTTGGAATGAAGTAGGAGGGTGTAGTAGTGACTCACACATCTGCCAGAGGTAAAATGGCATTCAATGCATGCGCTAGTACAATTTGTACTTACCTGAAATTTGACAACTTCAACAGCTCTTTGGTGTCTGACATGGCGTTCTTATAAATTTCACTAAAGACCATGAATCTATGGAAGAGGTAATCCCTCCCCCCAAAAAAGGAAATTCAGTTACTGGTAAGTAATACAGTTTTTTTAAAGATGTCAAGTCATAAGGATTCCTGCTCATCCCCAATAACCTATAATAACCATGCCATATACTTTCTTGGTACATCAAATTCATAATTATTATCTAAGTATTTTATACTGAATACAAATGAGCTAAACATTCTGGAAGCTTTCATAATTTTCATTATATGAAAATTTCAAGGAGTTTTTTGAGAACATGAGATGATTCTAAATTTGTTAAACTTCAGATGTCATATGGTTTTATCTCCCTGTAAAAATCTGCTTTTTTTATGGCTCTGATGTCACAGATATGAGAATTCCAACTGATTTCAGTTGCCTAGAATTAATTCCTTAACAAGAAAACCACACTAAAAAAAAACCCAGCAACCAAACAAATGAAAAAAAACAAACAACAAAAAACCACCCCACCCCAGAACTCACCAGTAGGGCTTGACCAAAAGCTAAATTAAGTAATACAGTTCTCTTGACATCACTGGGCTTTGGATCCTTGTCTTTTGAGTCTGTAACATTTAAACATAGTTGAAGTGCTTTAGAAACAAAGGGAAAAAAGATGCTTAGGAAAATTACTAAACAACATCTGATATGTTTATGTCTGCTTCATTCTATTCAACTGTGAAACAATGTTTTTCTTCTTTGCTATGTTATAGGTAAAATGTGTAAAAGGAAATACTGTTATAAATAATCTTTTAAACCAATCATGTTTCTGCCTAACCATCAGAGCATCTTTCTATTTGCAGACACCTAGGAGCAATACTTTTCTTACTTGTAAATACTATAAACTTTCATCCTGTGCAAGAAATTATCAGAATGGCTTCTAAGGACTTTTCTTAAACCTTCCATTTTTTGTCTTTATTAAACTTTCTTTTTTCTCAAGCTCTTCATAATCTACATTGTGACTTCCTGTGTTTATGAAACTTTTCATGTTTATTTCAGTGCCAGTTTATATTCATTCTAATTTTAATTTTCCAGTTTTGATCTTTAATTTTAAAAAGAGTATATAGAAAAAGCTCTCAGATAAATCACTATTTCGTTGACCTTGCTCAGGTCAATTTCAGTCAGCTAGTCTCAGTGAGCCCAGAATCAAACCTGACATTTATTAGGAACCTGATAACCACAAAATTGTCAGTAGCTGCATAATTCACTATACGCTATGAACAGATCAGGAAGGAGTATTTCTGGAAGTACACTCCATTGCCAGGGACAAGAATTATGAGTCCATATCTCAAATCTGAACCAAATCCTAGTCTGAAGAGTAGAGGAGACAGAAATTTTAATGCTGCTTAGCCTAGAAGTTGCTTTGTGTGAAAAATGCTTTTTTGGTTAAAAGAACAGTACTATGAAGAGAAATGCTAATTCACTGTTGTACTCTCTTTTTATGTAGATACCTTGCAGTCACAGCTTATCAATATGGGTGTTATTCCTACGTTAGTGAAATTGTTGGGCATTCATTGCCAAAATGCAGCTCTGACAGAAATGTGCCTTGTTGCATTTGGCAATTTAGCAGAACTCGGTAAGTCCACAATACTAATCTCAAATTTACATCCAGTTTTCATAATGTTAAGTCTTAGTTAAAGACTAACAAAAGCTCATTCAAGTCCTTTTGGTACATTCAACAATAACAGACAAGTAATTTTTGCTTATTTTCTCTAGAATATATAGTTGTCTCTTTTTTTTCCCCTTTCAGTTACTGAAATTTATTTGGGTACTTAATTCCACCTTATGTTTTATGTTACTGCACTTCAGTTCAACTAAGCACATTTTAAATCATCTAAACAGTATTTTCATAGCACTGCTACTAAATGTGAATTATTTATTAATAATATAAATATTGTATCCCAGTGTAGCTCCACAAAGTTTTATCGAGATTAAATTTGGCTCATGAAAATCTCTGAATGAAATTGAGGCAGGCACAGTCATTAATCTGTACATACAGTATTATTTTAGGTACAGAATTTTAATATACTCTAGTCAAAATACCTCCATGTATAAATCATGAATAGATGTTAATTTTAGTTAGAACTCCATTTAAATTGAAGTTTGTGGCCCTGTTTTGATCTGATGTCTTTTCAAGCAGATCAGTTTTCATTGGAATTCAACCATGTGTAAATCAATGGGTTGTTAAGGCCTGTGTTTTATTAACATTTGTGGTTTATGTTGTTCTTTTGCTAACATATTTGGAGAAATTCTAGTTTTATGAGTTGGGGTTTTTTTACACTGGAGTAAATAACACATAGCACTTACAATATCATCTAAGAACATTCAGCAGTTCAAAATATGAAAAATATGTATCTCTGAGTTTGTAGTACTTGGTGGCCTGAGTTCACAGATTTCAAGGCCAGAGAAAGTATCATGTTACCTAGTTTAGTTTGATCATACACATAATAAATTTATTTACAGGAGACAATTCTTCTTAACAAATCACAGCTGAAAAAGCCATCAAGGTAGCACAAACCAGAGGTGTGCAGGTTGGGCACTGTGTACTGTGTCTGCATAACAGAAATTATAAGAGTCATACACTGCAAGTTCTAGTGTTTAAATGCAACCAAAACCATAATGATATTAAATATGATAAATGGGAGACTCACTGAGAATTTTCTTCCCCTCTTTGGAAAGATCCAGCTCTCTCTTGTTGAGTAATGAGAACCATGGGAAAAACTTTACAGCAGCTGCTTCACTTCCAGTTCATACACATTGAAAAGGTGCTCATTCTTTAAGACTGGCACAAAATTAATTTACTTTGTAATACTTTATTCTCCCTTAAGCAGTAGTCAATCACATTGTAACTGTATTATTTTATTTTTGCCTTGTAACTTCAGGGAATTTTTTTGGTGAGGTTATCATTTTTCATCACTTACAAGACAACAGCATTGTAAGAATCCCTTGAAAAGCATTATATGACTCTAATTCTGTGTCAAAGCAGGGCACAAACCAGTGATGGATCTGCTAAAATACTGGAAAGATCAAAAATCCACAAAGAATATACTATGCAACCAGGCACAGTGAGAGAAAATGATGAGACGTGCACAAAAGTGTCCAGGACTGCATTCATGCTTTTCCTAAGTCCTTGGGGTCAGTTCTACAGTAAAGTAATCCCTAAGCATCTGTCAGAACAATAGCAAAGGTGCTGGAAGGTTTCTGGCTACAGATGGCCCTCAGGAGGTGGCAACTGGAGAATGCAGAACACCAGCCCTGCCACCTGCATCCTTGTAATACTGCCAGTGAGGAGGAATATGATACAGGCAATGGAATAAGAGATGCTTTTGTTGAATGTACATTTGAAGACCTGCTGGCTAATCTGATAGGAACCTCGCCCCTCTGTAAAACTGCTTTATGCTGTATCTGTGCAGTGTGAGATGGCCCAGCAACAGCCACACACAGATTTCAAAAGAAATGTCACCATCATGAGACCATGTAAATATTTAAGCATTTGGTGCAAATCTTCATCCCTCCCATAGAAAATGCAGTATATAACCTGCTCTTCTTTCTTTCTTTCTATTAAGACAAGATAAAATCAAAGACTTCTTTTTGTACTATTACTGTTTCTATAGCTAGCTTATATTTTGGTGAGTAAAGCCAGACTAAACAGCCTTGAATCATATATTTATATATTTTTAACAGCCTTAACCATAACTATTTCAGGTCAGCACATTTAAAGTCTTAGATATTTATCTTTTCATTTTGTGACAAGCATGAGTCTATTGCTCTTGTCTGTGAAGAGCAGTTAGTCATCTTGCTGAATAAACCTGGTAACAAAGAGAAAAAGTAGTTCTACCTTCTTATATGGTTTGTTTACTTTATACTGATTTTCTCCTTTTGCTTCACAGAGTCAAGTAAGGAGCAGTTTGCCTACACAAACATTGCTGAAGAGCTTGTGAAACTGTTCAAGGAGCAAATAGAGCATGATAAAAAAGAGATGATTTTTGAAGTTTTGGCCCCCCTGGCAGAAAATGGTGAGAATTTTTTTTTCTTACTCTATCTTTTACTCATTCTCTTATGTGTATTTTGTATTTCAGTATATCAGTGTGTTTTTCAGGTACTAAATGCAGAGTAATGGGCTGTCTCCTTCCAAAGCCACCACAGCTGATCCTTGTGATTGTAGTGTCATGAAAAGTGAATGGTCTTAATTGTTGAGCCAGCACATTGTTGATGCTAATTCCATCACTGATTCACTCTGTATACAATTATGTTACATTTTATTGCTCTTTGCCCACAGTGGGAATATCAAAAGCTGCTTTTTAGAGAGCTTCACAACATTTGTCTGCAAACATTGGCTCAAATGTTCATAGACCATTGGAGCACCAGGACATCATTTCCTGGAATCGCAGAGCCTCTGGCAGTTCCATTTCCTATAACATTATTTTTGCTAGGGGCATGTCAATTGCAGAGCTAAGGACTGGACACTCTGCCCTTACTGTTCATTGAGAGATCATATGAATTTATTTAGGTGTTTGGTGGTGTATCTTACATAGCCCCAGGCAGCCCCTGGGAGTTTGACTCACTGCTCAGGACAGAGCAGGAATTGATGTGCACCCCTGATCACCCCTCCAGGATGTTCCTCCAGAGCAACAAGGGATCAGACAAAGGTTGCTTGTACAATGTATCATCTGCCCTTGATGGAAATAAAGAAATGAGTTAACAAGTGGAGATGGACTGATGTGGGAAGCAGTTCTGTGAAGGGAAGACATCACAGTATTTGATGACTCTCTAACCTCATTTTAACCACTTCAGTATTAAAGCTTTTTTTAATTTAATAGATTGTTAGATAGAATTGCAAACTCAGATTTATGTTTCATCCATTCTGTTGTGCATGCACACTCTGTGTGTGTCTGTTTTACAAAGTATAAGTCAGGCTGAACTTTCACTTCAGTTTAAAAAGGCATTTTGACTTTTAAGTGGCATGGAAAATCAATTTCTTTTTCAGCTCTAAAAATGAACATCTTTTCCAAAATATACAATTTACTATATAATAACTTAAAATCTACTCTCAGGTAGTTCCATCCTCAGAATGACACAAAATAGGGTTGAACTTTTTGTGTGTTTGATATATGTCAGTTCAAATGCTTAATTTTTCTCAGAGTATGTTTTTTAGTTGCAATAAGACTTGAGAAATTCACTGCTGCTGACCCTGACTCAGATGCTCAGATGTTGAAAGGTAGTCAGAAAAACATTTCCACTGTGGATTCAAGGCATTCATAAATGAGTTCACTTTGCTGGTACTGTTTAGGTGCTTTTCCTTGTAGATAATTAGCAATAGGTCAGAAAGGAAAAACATCTCAATTAAGTATTTGCAGAGAGTCTGGATTTTGGTGGTTGGGGTGTTTTAAGGTTTTTTTCTAATTTACTTGTTGACTTAGCATGCTGGTGTAGCAATTTCAATTTCAAATCACAGAACATCTGCAACCCTGTATTCTATAGCTAAGGGTATTCTCTGTTTTTTAAAGCACCTCAGTGCAAAAGAGCCTATTGAAAAAAAAAAAAAATCCCAACTGGATATTTTGCATTTCCTTACAAAGTTCATGAGAAGGTCAGCTGCTCTTAAAGGAACAATGAATTTCACTCAGGCAAAAAGCCTAGTGACACCAGGAAACTGAGAGTCAGACACATCCTTCACCAGAGGTAGAACACACTTCCTCTCCCAAATGTGGTTTGTAAACTGTATGAAAAAATATTTCCAAAGCCCTAGCCTAAAAATATTTTAACTTGGGTTAACACCTTTTTGCAAAAATATCATTTCATGTAGAAAACAGATAAATCCACTTCTTTTGCACACTTCTGCAGAGCTTTGTGACTATTTTTCAAAATCACCCTGCAAAAACTACCAGAATCACTTCCATGTATGAAGAGACCTCACATAGCATAAGACAGCCTGCCATTCCCTCTTAACAGAAAGGGAGTTTAGGCATGTAAAGAAGATTCCAAGGGAAATATCTGTTAAATATTTTGTTATTTTAGAAAAAAGAGAAAAAAATATTGTTCCTAGATTTTATGTCACTTGAAAAAAAAATATTACCTTCTCAAGCCTTGTTTTGAATAACAGCTAAGAAATTAGTTTGCCTCATCAGTTTCCAGAACAAACTTCTCTGCCAACCCAACCTTTTGGATTTGACCTTTCTGCACTCCTCCTGCAGCCCTTTCAACAAACGGCAGATATACTGTCTGTCTTTGGAAAGCATGAACACAGCACAGTCCTTATGAGTCTGCCGTGCCATGACTGAGGTGCCAGAAGTTTGCTGTAGGGAAATATCCTCATTTTTAGAAGTGAAGAGCTCCATACACCTTCAGCTTATGACTGTGCTCTAAAGGAAGTCCAGAGCCAGAGAGAGCCTGTTAGATGAATAATAACAGAAGTTGGCCATAAAAATTTCAAATAAAGAGCTCGTGGTTTTATGTACACAAGTTGTCAGTGAAAACACTGACATCACTGTTTCTTACAGCCTGTCCTGCATATGTGTGTAGGATAGATGCATTTAACATCCTGATTCTGACTCCTATTATCCATGCTATTTTCCAGATGTCATTAAACTCCAGCTGGTTGAAGCAGGTTTGGTGGAGTGCTTACTTGAGATTGTCCAGAAGACTGTAGACAGTGACAAAGAGGATGATATTGCAGAGCTTAAAACAGCTTCTGATCTTATGGTTCTATTATTGCTTGGAGGTAAGGATGGGCTGTCCCTATGTTCTGCAAAGCAACAGCAGATACCTGTACCACTGTTTGGCAGCTGAATTTCACTATTTATTAATTTTTTAAATAACCTAGATGACCTGCTGCACACCAGGCAAACATTTAACAGGTCAGATTTTGTCCCTCATTGCAGGATTGGATTAATTGTAGTGGAACCAGGAGAGCTTCACAAATATAAAGAGAAGTTTCTCTAACAAAACTTTGGCTTGCTGACTCTCTGTGCTTTTTACCCCAGATGAATCCATGCAAAAGTTATTTGAAGGAGGAAAAGGCAGTGTGTTCCAAAGAGTACTTTCATGGATTCCTTCCAATAGTCATCAGCTACAGCTTGCTGGAGCACTGGCTATTGCAAATTTTGCCAGAAATGGTAAGAACATGCCATAATAACTTAAGTAAATTTATGTGTGGCCCTCTATCATGCTTTGTCTGTAGAGCTGGAAACAAGAACTGTGTTGCAGTAAAGCTGCTGTTGAGTTACACGGCAACATCACTAGTTTTAAACTTTACAATCCTCAAAAGCATTAAACCTACTTTAAAAATATTATTTTGCATGTGTAGAGGGCTAAAGGGGATTTCTGCCTTCTTCTGATTTCTTCTATCACTCTTGTAAGTTTGTCATGAGCACTGTAATTCTAACATATGATGGTGGTCAAGTTCTCAACAATGAAAACTAAAAAGGAGCAAGGAAACAACCCTTCTATTCATAAGAAGCTGTTGTAAAAATCTTAGTAATAATCTTTGCTTCACAAATGACTTGTTACATCTCGCACAGACGGAAACTGCATCCATATGGTGGATAATGGCATAGTTCAAAAGCTGATGGATCTGCTAGACAGACATGTGGAGGATGGAAATGTAACTGTGCAGCACGCTGCACTGAGTGCTCTCAGGAACCTGGCTATTCCTGGTAAGCCTCTCTTTGCATTGCTAACCACCCAAAGGTGAAATTCTGTTCTCCCACTCTACCCCCTAGGGAATGTGGGTGGGAGCACTGACTGACAGTCCCAGAGGCAGGTCAGACTGCTGCTTTTCATTCTGGCCCATCACTGCTTTTGTGTCTGTTGCACAGCAGTTCAGAAAAGCAGTTCTGAATACATCACAGGCATAGTGACTGTCCCTTGCCACTTTGATCCCACAGTATCCCCCACCAAAGAAAGGGCAGCCTTGTAATTGGTGAGGAGCTGATGAGGCCTTGAATATGATTTCTCAACCTTTTTTGTCCAGAGCACTGCATATTTATTTTTCTTTCTGCTTTTTTTGCTTCATTTGCAATCGGTCTCACAGCTGAGGGTCCCCACCAGAGAACAGTGCCCACTTTGTTAAACTGCATCTTACTTAAGACACTGAAAGTTGCTAAATTAGAGCTGGAGGTAGACCAACAGAATAGCCAGCCTATTGCAATTAGTTACTGTTTGTTGGCAGTAAGCTGAATGCTAATTTTGTCATTTTTAGTAACTTAATTTGTGTGAGTTTTGATTACCCAAGCATAAAGGTAGAGCATGCACACAAAACAGCAAAGCAAATCCATAACACTTGTGTATGGTTTCTTGTGCCAAGCCGAAAATAAGTCTTTCATTCACATAACCTTATTTTACTATTTTTGGTTTTGATAAATCCTAACTTTTAGAAATGATCATGCATACATAACTAAACCCACTGAGGTTTAGCAATATTCCATTTGCTTACCTTTCTCAGGTGAGTCATTCTTTTCACTTCCATCAGTCAGCTTCCCTGTAGCCTGTGCTGAAGGGTGTCTGCCAGAGACCTACATCACCATCCCTGTACATTGTTAAAAAGAAACAAGCAAGTAATAACTGACCTCAGTGATGAGCTCTGTGTCAAAACACTATTTCAAATACCTAAGAAGTATTTTTTCCAAGCACACGACTGGGCAAGGTTTGCACCTTAAATGCATTTCAGAGAGCTCTGTGAAAGTGGAGAACATGGACTAGTGGAAAGGATGAAAGACAGGTTGGAGAGGGGAAGAAGGCAACAAAAGACTACAGACTCCAGGCATGTCAGGCTAGAGAGTTATTTGTATGAAGTATTGGAACTGGGTAAGGGGTTATTCTGCTAATTGGATGCTTTGCTTTGCTAATTAGTTCCTTTGCCTGTGAGAAATTGAAGAGTGTGGTTGGGGCTCAAAGATTCCTCCTATTTGGGAGTGCAAGTAGTAGCCTGGGCTCCTGCCTGATGCATTTTGTGGAAGATACCTTTCCTACACCAAAGGGAGGAGTCTACCCCTTTGGTGGTGGTCAAGCTGAATACAGAAATTTAGATGTGCATGCTATGAAAAAGCACTTAATTTCACAGGAACCGTGACATTTTTCCACAACACACTATCACCAGTGCACACTGTTCCTATAGTCTGTGCTCACAACCTCTTTTTCAGACCACGTCTGAAAATTTGCTTCCAGTCCAGCTCTGAAATTAACTGCATCTTCCAGAAATGTTTTTGAGATCAATCCCTGTTCTTTATTCATGCAGTTGTAAATAAGGCTAAGATGCTATCAGCTGGCGTTGCAGAAGCTGTATTGAAATTTCTCAGATCGGAGATGCCCCCCGTTCAGTTCAAGCTGCTGGGAACATTAAGAATGTTAATAGATGCACAAGGTAAAAATAAACTGTTCTCTATGTTAAGTGATTCTCTTTGGTTCAGTCTGTGATACGCTGCCAAGATTCTTAAAAGAGAGAAGCGGAGCTTTTCTAAATTTCATTCCTGAAGTCATGGAATCAATTTAATACACATGCAAAAGGAGAGGAACATGGGTTGATTTTTTTTTTTCAGAACTCCTAAACTGACTACCAGGGACCCTCCAAATAGGTGTCAAATGCTTATTTATTTTTGAACTTCTTTACACTGTCACATTACAAGTTTGTATTGAGGTGTGAGTGTTTTGAGCTACCACTCCTGTTTTGCTGTTCACTTACTGTATTCCCTGGCTGTACCTTGGTCCTTGGAACAGGATAATACTCTGTTAATTGATAGACTGCAATTCCGAAAAGAAGAAGCACCTTTTAGTTACCAACTTGTTCCAGGATTTATAAAATCAGAAATCTGCTAAAAACCAGAAATAGTTCATGAGGTAAATTAGCTGTGTATTTATTTTTGACTCAGTCCTACAGATTTTTTCATAAGATCCATTCTAGTTCTAGCAACGCATTGGGTGCAAACTAGACTTTTTTTCAAGAAACTTACGTGACTTACAGTCTATCAAACCTGATCTAACTGACCACAGTGCTCCCTTCTGGCAGCAGTCTCTCCTGGTTTTTAATTCTTGAGCTGGCTCACAGCTCAGCTGGGGGTGTGATATTACCTGTATTTTCCCTACTCTTCATCAGTGCACAAGCTTCATTAACTGGACTGATAAGCTGTTTCAAAAACTGCATTATTAATGTTTTTCTGGATTTTTTTTAAATTTCTTTTCATTTTGACTGGCTTTACTTGCTTCAATGCAACCTAGACTTTTCCCACTGATAGTGCAGGCTAGTGAAGTTCTTCTAACTCTTTCAAGTTAGTAACTTTCAGCTTGTTTTTCTAGCACTTGCTTAAAAAATGTGACAACCTTTTTGTTGTGTTGTTGGCTCCGGCATCATGTAGCGGAAGCAGCTGAACAGCTGGGCAAAAACGTAAAACTGGTGGAACGCTTGGTGGAGTGGTGTGAAGCCAAGGATCACGCAGGTGTGATGGGAGAGTCCAACAGACTCCTTTCTGCACTTATACGACACAGCAAATCAAAAGTAAGTTAGTGGACAAAAAGGTCAACTTGTCAGAACCAAGAGTTACCTGTGCACTTCCTGTTGGTAACCAACCCTCCACCTTGCAATCCTTCTAGCAAGCCAGCTCGGGTATTCATGTGTTACATCTCCTCTGCCCAAGGCTTGACTCATTTTTATTTTAAATGTATCCTGCAGAAGTTCAGCATGTTGTATTCTCTGTGTTTTTATGATACTATATATGAAGAATCAGTGAACTCAGTTGTTAGGATCTTGCTATATATTTATATAAAACTGACATCCAGAAATAGTCTGTCTCCCTGCTCTTCATACAGCATATTTCAAACTTTTAAAATTCTGATGGATCATAAGAAATGATAATTTATTCCAAATTCTAACAAAAACTTGCTTGTTTATGGAAAAAGGTACAACATTAGGAAAAACAACATGTATGCATAGATGGCAAACACCACCACAGATGTGAGACTAATATTCCCTATAGGAGAGCAGAATTTAATTCTAAATATGGAGACAGTACTGATTACATCAAATAGATATTAAGGCAGAAATTAACAGCTTTATCACAGGTGAATTAATTTTTGTTGGGTGCATGTATTCACAGAGGAAATTTGACATGAAGAGGATAACAGAGCTCAGAGGGTGGGGTTTTTTAGGCTTTTGCTGCCCTCTAGGTTTGAATATGAGTACAGCTGTATGGCTCTTGCCAACATCAGGTTTGAATTTGGCTTTTAATTTTAAATGCTTTGGGGTAATATTTACAAAGGTAACAGTCAGTTTTAGTCATTGTACAAAACTGGAGTAGGTACCTGTGATTTCAACCACACTAGCACCAAACCTGATGGCTGTCATCTATTCAGTACTGCCTTTTAAAGGGTGAGGTTCACCTACAATATAAAAAATTCTCATGTCAAAGATGCTGATTGGTTCCTAAGCCTTATATACCCAAAATTCCACACCAATTTAAATAGAACGTAGCAGTTCCCAGATTATCTCAGTCTGAAAACTACTTTGGACTACTTTGGTTTTAGGTTTTTTGGGGTTTTTTTTGTTGAGATTGGGATTGAAGGTATTTAAATGGTATTTTGTATTCAGGTTTAGATGTTTATTTTTTAAATTTATGTTATAGTCTCACAGTAGTGAGACCATACATCTCACTATTTTGGCTGTGGCTAGTGTAAGAAAGGGGGATGTGGTTTAAATGGAAATTTAAGATATAGAGGAAAAATTTAAATTGTATTCTTGTTTCAAGAAATTGATGATACTTCAAACCTTTGTGCACTCACAGGACAAATAAAAAATAATAAACAACCAATCCACATTTCCTTGAACAGTTTCCTTTCAGGGTGCCAAGTTACCTGATTTTCAGGCAAACAATTTACAACTGTTTTTGGGATATAAGATGGTGAAAACATGAGGTGCACAACCACTTGTGAAATTACAACTAATACCTGTAGAGTATTAGTCTACTATAATCTTTATCTTTTATCACATAAATTGGATCAACTTTTAGACTTGAAAACAGAATCCCAGCTGGGTATTTTTATCTATTTCAGACACCTTTAACCCAGTTAAATAACATTTTAAGTTTCTAGATACTGGGCAGCAGTACTACAGCAGTACAGTTCACTTTAACAGCTGGCTTTAGAACAGAAACCAACACATTGGTGTCCCATACATACCTTTTCCTTATCTCCTTTGTATTTGAAGAAAAATTCCATAATACCACTGCTTGTTTTCCTGTTTTATGTCTATACAGCTTTCCAAGTACACCATTTCTGTTACATAGTAAGGTGTCATATTTGTGATCTCACCTCTCTGAATATTTTGAAGAAACTCCGAAAATTCTTGGAGAGAAATGAAGCATTTAATAACTTTATTATAACTATGTTTGTGTGTTTCCTTACCTCAACCATATAGTTTGTTGGATACTTTGAACCCCTAATCATTTGATGATTGATGGCACAGCATGAGAACTTGAGTTACACCATGTAACCTGGAAAAGAGTTCATTATGTATGTCTTAACTTAGTTATGGGGTTACCTGCCTTGGTTTAACACATTGTATCTTACAATTGCAGAGCAGTAACAGGTGGCCTGCATATCTGTACATTGATGTATAAAGTGATTGTATGTGCACAAAGCCAACAAGTACCCTTACCCAAAGATAACACAGCATCCCTGACGGTTCTCTTATTTAATACAGTTTGTATGCAATGCAGAATTTTGTCATCTTTGCATTATTTATTTTAGGATGTAATTAGGACCATTGTACAGAGCGGTGGCATCAAGCATTTAGTAACCATGGCGACCAGCGAACACGTAATAATGCAAAACGAAGCTCTCGTTGCATTGGCATTGATAGCGGCTCTAGAGTTAGGTGAGTATCCCAGGAGTTCACTCCACCATTTCCTTTCCAGTCTGTGCCCAAGAGAAGCCATGGAGGGAGAATGCAGTGTAGAATAGCCTCCTCCTTCCACCCGCCTTTCAGTTTTTCCATTGTGCTTCATGCAGACACAGGCAAGCCATCATGTTATGCAGGAAACTGGAGAGTGCTGGTTATACGGGATCTGCTCCATCATTCTGGTAGGTGGTGGAGTGATCTAGAAAGGCCCTCCAGCTTAACTTTCCGATTTGGGGTAAAACTCAGAAAGCAAACATACACCAGACTAGAGACTATATGACCTGACCACATTCCTACACTGGAATGTTAATCTGCTTTTGAGAGAGCTTTTTAAAGAAGAGTCCACTTACCTAATAATTAAAAACTAGAGAATACACGGGGGTGGTTAATGCCTCCAACATGTCTCCATTAAATTACCCAGGATTAAGTGCAAGAATTGCCATATGTAGGCAGACATGATTACATGTCTTGACCTGCATTTGTAGTACCTCAGCTTTTGAAACAGGAAAGTAAATGCTCAACAGAAGTTTTGTTTATCCTGTTTACTTACTTATTGACTAAGGAACTAAACAAACAACCTTACATATTTTTGTTCTTGATTTCATCTCTTGCCATTGTGTACTACAGGAATGCTCTGTTCAACTTTTGAATCACTGCCAATACATCAAGGAATTGTTTTAAATAAAAGGAAATATGTTCCTATTCACATGAATCATCTCTTTGTCTTGTCTTCAGGCATTTAAAGGTTGAGCCAAATTCAATACATGTATCTTAGAAAGCTACAGAGGCAGTAACTCAAATAGGGATCTTGAAAAGTTTTCCACAGGCTTTATAATGGACCCTGAGCTCCCTCTACCATGGAATTGAGAACTACACAATCTTTATTTACTCAGACAGAATTTCCAAAAGCAAATTGAGGCAATGGAAGTGTTGAAAGCTGAAATATTCCAGGTATTGGCCTAAATGGCTAGGAAGCCTACGGCTTTTCCATCAGCTTACTGAACATTTAGACTGGATTTCATCATTAAACTCTGTGACTCTCCTTTCAAGCAGTTAGACAACTTCACATTTTTATAGCAAGAGCTGTGATGCTTGTCATCATACCATCAAATATGTGCTTGAGTTTTACACCAATGAGTTACATACCACAGCCTTTCACTCTGGTGAGAGATAGTGTTTCAATAAAGGGATAACACATGGAAGCGTCAAAGCAAGCGGCACTTCCAGACTTACAAATTTTCACTTGTATTTCAGTCACTGCTGAAAAGGATCTTGAAAATGCTCAGCTTGTTCAGATTCTGCACAGACTGCTCTCAGACGACAGGAGTGCTCCAGAAATAAAATATAACTCCATGGTGCTGATCTGTGCTCTTATAGGATCTGGTGAGTATTCAGGAGAGGCTGCTTCCCAGGATTTATGTACGCAATACAGTTCTTTCCTACAGTGAACACAGATCATGTGCAAACACACTGTGAGTGGTTCTCTGTTCACAATGGATATAAACACACATAGTTCAGTTTACTATGACTCTGTAGTGTCTATCTATAGTGTCAAGGATGAAGCTGTTAACTCAGTTTTGGATATTAACTGCAAAAACTTGACCCTGGCTTCTGCAGGATGCAACTAGCTCAAACTTTTACAGGAAAGAAATGAAAGCATTTAAAACTGTACAAATATCAAGTTGTCATTGTAAATATGCAGATAACAAGAATTTCATTTTCATTTCTAGCTGCAAGTTCCCTGTAATTGATCTGTGATGGTGCTTTAGGAAGGATCCTTACATTTATGTCACTAGGAAAACTCCTTCCCTCAAACCTTCGCATGCTCAGCCCACCAGGCACAACATGCACTAACACATATCAGTGCTGGACACTGTAAACTCTTGTCCCTCTGAGCTCACCCTCTGCTACAGGTCAGGCTGTTTACAGGCTCTTCAAGTAGGCTGTGGTTTGATATTGCAACTTCCCATCTGTGTGTGGGCAAACAAACAAAAACCACAAAACAAAAAAGAGCACGGTGTCATGGGGAAATGTCATTCAAGGTTTCAAGTTGCTACATTTCTTTCATTCAGTTCTTTAAGAAAGATTGTATCTGTGGAGAGAGAACAAATTTCTTTCTATAAAGGTCTAGGCATTTACAGTCAACTAAGATGACAAAGAACTGGAATAATTACAGAAAGGTGGAAAGTCAGAGCCTGTCTGCACAACTTGGCAAGTGTGAAACATATGAAGGTTCTCTAGAGGTTAGTTTACAGCAATTCAATTAATAGATTAAAAATTACCACAGTTAAATGTGTGCTGTCTCTGTAAACAAACATGCTTTTTTATTTAAACAGATTTCACCACGCCTACTGCAAGTGTAATTTTGGAGACCTGTACATCCATGCAAGCGAATATTCTATTCCTGCCACTTTATAGGAACAAATACTCAGTTTTAGAGAGTATACACAGCTCAGTGGTCAGTGTGCAAAGACTGTGCTCAAAATTTGCTAACAAGCCTCAGCTCTCAGTAGGCACTCACTTTAATGCTAAGACATGTAAACTTAGTTGTTACTCACAACCTTCTTGAGCCATTTCATGCTTGGGACTATCCAGGCATTTTAGAGCAGAAGCCTTTTGCCAGAGGTTCACAGTCAGCCTCACTGTCTTGATCTTTATTTCCACTGCTTCAACTAAAATAATTATCTCAAGAAAATCTGCCTGACAGTTCCATTTTCCCTTCCTGAATCTTGTTACCTGCAAGACTGACAGAGTTATTTAAAGTCAAATACCTGTCTCCAGAGTACAGAGCACTCTTATCTTAGGGGGGGTATTTTAGGGTTATCTGAGTGGCAGAGCTCAGTCTGCCACTGCACTGTAAGCTTTGCCTAGGCATAAGGCTCCTTACCCTGCTCCCAGAGAACAGACAGCAGCATGTCACTGCATTATGCAGCTGAGAAGTTAAGGCCCACTATTTGACTGACCCAGTGTTCTGCCCTGATTCCTGATGAACAGACCTGTGTAAAAACAGTGAGAACAGAAGAATAACAACAGAGCAAACTTGGTATTAACTTCAAAGATGGGGAGGTGGGGGGTTTTACTATTTTAACCCAGGAGCTGATTGCTCTTTACAAGGGAAAATACTAACATGTACCTCTTACAGCTCTGTTGCCTCTAAACTGTTTTCATTACCATCTCCACATCATGAGCCACGTTTCCTTATTCTACTGTGAACAGACCTGTGTAGTTATTTTTAAGCTAAGTGACCACAGTATAGTTCAATAAAGACTAGAAGCAGTTTCACTGGTTTATTGGTTTTGTTTAATTCTCCAGTGACTGCTGTTGTTACTCTGTTACTTTGTTATGGGGTATCTGGCATCACATTTAACCTGATGCTGCCAATATCTGTGTGTTCACAGAACAGGTCAAGTAGGAAGGGACCACAGTGGTCCAACCTCCCTGCTCAAGCAGAGCCATCCTAGAGCACATGGCACAGGACTGCATCCAGAAAGTTCCAGTGAGGGAGACTCCAGAACCTCTCTGGGCAATCTGTTCTGGTGTTCAATCACCTGCACAGTGAAGCAGTTCTTCCTCATGTTCAGGTGAAACTAACTGTGCATCAGTTTCTGCCCATTGCCTCTTGTCCTATTGCTTGGCATTCACTGAGCAGAACCTGCTTCTGTCCTCTTCACACCCTCCCTTTAGATACTCATAGACACTGATGAGTTTCCTCCTCTGTCATCTCTTCTCAAGGCTGAACAGACCCAGCTGCCTCAGCCTTTCCTTCTGAGAGATGCTCCAGTCCCTTGGTCATCTTTGTCACCCTCCACTGGACCCACTCCAGGAGCTCCATGTCTCTCATACTCAGGAGCTCAGAACTGGACACAGCACTGCAGGTGGTGCTTTATCAGTACTGACAGAGGGTCCCCTTGACCCGCTGTCCATGTTCTTCCCAATGCACCCCAGGATATCAATGGCCTTAATGGCTACAAGGATACACTGTTGGCTCATGGACAGCTGTTCATCTACCAGGACACCAAGGTCCTTCTCCATAGAGATGCTTTCCCCAGAGCAGCCCCCATCTTGTGCTGGTTCCTGGGGTTATTGTTCCCCAGGTGAAGAACTCTTTGTTGAACTTCAGATGATGTTAAGCAGTTAACAGATACCTATTTTTATAGGATTCTTTCCATCAGGAAGTTCCTTTTGCAACTGAGTGAATGGATAGGGGAAGAAAAATGAGGACAATGGAAAATGGATCATCCAAAGCAGAGCATTCTTAGCTAGCACAGTCTTCTGTAGGCAAGAGTCTCCACGAAACTGGATGTTACCAGCCATGGTAAAGCAAAGTGCTTTAAATACCTTCTTAAACATGTTGATATCTCAGCAGAAAGCAGGAAGTGCATATGTAGCATGAACCCCCCAACAGCTTCACCGACATCAGTCTGTACATACACGTTCCCAGCTCCACAGCAGCATGACAGTGCCAGCTCTTACATGGCAGGGGTTAAACTGCATGAGAACTAAAAACACATGAACGAGAAAGTAGGTAGCGGTGGGAACAAATGCCACAGCTTGCTTAAAAAAAAAAATAAAAATAGCACTGCATAAAGCATAGCTATCTGAAACAGATGGTAGGGTTTTCTCATGGGAAATTGAGAGATTAGGCCTCCAGCAACATGTAGAAAGCAAAATAATATGTATTTGTTGCTGAGTGGGATTTCACTAGAGAGGCATGTAACAAAACCAACCATTTTAGATCAAAACTGTGAGATGTTCAGAGTACAGGGCTTTGAGAAAACTTGTCAAATTTCTTACAATTTCTGCTCAATTTTATGAGTTGCTGCCAACCTCTCTTAAATAATACAACAAGTAAGTAGCATGCAATCCAGGATCAGAATCATCAGACAGTGTCTCCTAATTTTGAGCAGAATATAAACACTGCATCCATATGCACAGCACTGGGCAATGCTCTGCGTGTTGTCGTTTGCATCAACTTCAGAGCTGAGCTGTAAAGGGACAGAAAACAGTGACCAGGTGGTGACACATCCATTAAGGACCCATCTCACACCCCCACACAACCAGTAAGAGTTGACACACACAAATGATGTAGTGAGCCTGTCGCAGCCAGCTCACTTCGTCAGGCTAGTTTAAAGAATAAACCAAAAAAGTGTTTTCACTAAAAATACTTCCTAAGCATCTGTTTTGAAAGGCAATCCAGGTGGATATTCTTAACTGCTATGCAGCAGCTTGATCATTCATCGTGCCCTGAAATCCATGGAGTCTGTGTGTGCTGGACGCCCTAAAAAGTTGTCTCTCCATCAACAAAAGCAATTCAAAAAAGTAAACAATAACCAGATTGTGTGTACGCACAGCTGCGTGCTTGTGTGTACAGGATTTAGTAGTAAAGTTTCTCAGTTTTCTTCTGCCTATCTCATACAAAGCACTGTTTCTTTTAATATTTCCTTTTCCAGAACCTCTCCAAAAGGAAGTGCAGAGCATGGCGTTTCTAGAAGTCATATCAAAACTCCGCAGCCATGAGAACAAAACTGTTGCCCAGCAGGCCTCGTTAACAGAGCAGAGACTTGCTGTAGAAAGCTGAGGAAGGTCTTGTTTCCAGTGCATCCCATCACAGATTTCACCTTTGTCCTCCGTCCTGCTCCGCTCCTGCTATGTTTTACACTGTATCACTTGTGCATGCGTGTAACGTTCCCACACAAATTGATGAACTGCTGTAGGTACCTGTCCAAAAAGGTTTCTACAAATTCATAGGTGGTGTTAACATGAACCTGTCTCCACCTGTAACTGTTCTACTTGTATTCTTGTTGCTTGGGCCACATAGTAGAATGTGCATGTTGTAGTCCTATGATGATGTAGAAGTGGTACTACACAACTGACTCTTTCCTCATGCCCCCTAACTGCATAAAAATGTACTACTAAATTAGGGACAACACGAGATGCAGCAGCTCCAGACTAGCGTGCTGACTATAGGATTAAGAAGTAGATCTAGCTCAATTTTTGGTGCTTTGGAGATTCAGGTTTGAATGCAATGTACTGCTGCTCATTCACTGGTCTTGCCTATTAATGTCAAACTTGTGGTACCTAGAGGTAACAAATAAAAATTTCAGTGCTCTCACTTTACCCTGTGGTTTGTCCTTTTTTCTAATCCCACACAGAAGCCACGACTGCACCACCGTGCACTGGTGAGTTCTTTTTGTTCCTGGCTCTGGCCCGACGCGATCACTGCCTTTCAGCTGAGCAGATACAAAGGAAGCTATTCCAACCACTATCACTGTGTGTGCTCACACAGAGGCACTGTGTGGCATAACAATCATGCATTTTAGCAGCAATGCTTGATACAATCTTTATCTTATAGAGCCATGTGCGTACAAGTGTTCCTGGGCTTGCTTGGGATTGCTTCTTTGTTTACTGGGGGGTTTTTATAGATAGATTTTTAAAATAATATCTTGCAGCAGCTGCTCAGCAGAAGCCCATCAAGTGAGAAATGGAAGATGCAAGAGACTTCCTTTCTCTCCTTTCCTAGGTAAGGGAGATGGAAAACTGCCAGTCTGAGCATCTTATCTCACAGCTGCTCTTTTGTAGGTCTATAACATGCCAGCGAGCAAACCAGCAGACAGCACTTGGGCAAAACAAGGAGCCAGTTGGGATAGCGGTTTCCAACAAGCCAGCAGATGATATTTTGGACTGTGTGATACCATTGCCTAGCATGATCAAGCCCACCATGCATGAAGGTCACAAGATCTATAACATTTTAAAGTGAGTTCAGCACTCCCAGTGCTGAAGTGCCAGCCTCAGAAGTTTCAAGTTCCTTTTCTTACGAGCAGAGGCAGCAAACCCAAAGTCCAAGCACCTATGACATCCCATGCCAGGTAATTGCAAACCACTGCTTTTGGCCTTCACAAATTCACTCCCCAGCTCCATGAAACCACTGCTTATCCCTCAGATACTGTGATGGGAAGATGCCAGCCATGAGGGTAAAGGGATTTTTTATGTAAGCTGGGTGTGAAAAAAAACTTGCTTTTGACAGCCAACTTAAGGTCTCAGATTGTACCAAAACACAGCAGATGCTACAGGAGTTTTCACACTGCAGAGATTCCACATCCATTTAATCCAGGGCCAGAAACATTCAGAAAAATCCTCCAATACCAAACTGCGCAACAGCAAAAAACCAAAACAACACATTCAAAAAGCAAATGCTAGTACTAGTGCAATAAAGCCACTGACAGAGTACAGAATTGTCAACACAAACCAGGAGCTTGTGACATCAGGCTCCAAATAACACAGAACCTCTGCACTGCTGCTGAACACAAGCAGCATGTTTACAATCACAGCTCACAGGCCCTCACAAGCCCAAGTTCTCCCAGGCACAGAAACTCCATTGACTTAAACAGAATCCAAAATAATATTTGAAAGGCCAGTTATCAACAACCTGCCTGAGGCCAGTTAACAACAACCTGGTTCTTGAAAGAGACTGCTCCTTTTGACATTGGTATAAACTGCAAGTGCTCACCCAAACTGGTTGTGATGTTGACAGAATTCCCATTTGGTTGTCTAACTGGAGCTGTGGTTAAGCATTAACTCTATTCTCACCACCAGATGTTTATCAGGAATACCACTGTCACAGCAAGCATAAACACAGGCCAATGGTGATACCCTACTTTCACACAGTTTCCTTGGATGGAATATCAAATGACTTAGATTCCTAGATAAAATCTGTGCTGAGCCTAGGAAGGAAAATCCACATAAGGGCAAAGATGGGTGTATGTCACAGTAGGAGGAGGTAACTGAAGAGACTCTAGCCACACAAATGCTGTGCTGTCCTGAGGCATGCTGCAGTCTGCAGGTTACTTCTATGTAGCTGGTAAATCATTTATCCTCCGAGCACCTTTAAATAAGAAATGAGATCTAAGGACATTACTATCACATGCATGTCACTACTAACTGGACTGAAGTCAAGTGAAGGGAAAACGCTGACAGTAATTCTAATTGGATGTTTACTACCTAGATTGCATCTAAGCAAACCTTGACATCTGCTGCTCAGACTGTTTCTATGACAGCAATGCCAGATGTGGGGCCTTGTCTTTGTCTTAGTGCCACCACAGCCAAGCCAGAACAATCAGAACAATCCCTATGGCCATACCATGGGCAGGCTGCACCTCCCTTGAGTGTCACGCTCTTTGGCATCTGTACAAACTTTTGCCCAGCATCTCACTGTTGGGAAGGTGAACACAATCACGTGTTTTTACATTTCAGTGTCCTTATTACAAGAAGCTTCACTCAGGGCAAGGCAGAAACTCCAACAATACCGGCCTTGCATCCAGAGCACCCATTGGAAAAGGCAATTTGTTTTAAAATGGTAAACAGCCTCAACTTCAGGAGTCAGTGTACAAGTCTGTTAGGAGTTTGATAGATGGCAGGTAGCCACTCCTAGTCTCCCTCTCCATCATGAAAATGCTTAGCCAAGTTTGTCACATCTATCAGGCAATGCCCTTGGCTCTTCTTTTTTGTTAACTTTTGGTAATTCCTGTGTTTGTGTGTCAATCTGTCCCGAGTTTAGATGCTTGTTTTCCAAATCATTTCCATACATTCAGATAAATGTCATATGCCTGAAATATGCAAAAGGCATTAGACTTCAATCTGGACATGCTTTTAAATTGATCACAGTGCCATTTGTGTACAAAACCTAGAGGTTTTGAAATTCTATTAAAAAAGTCTGTTTCCTCCTCTATCCAAAGTAGCACAAGACATCATTACCCATTTTTACCTGCACAATAATTTAAGCCACTTCTCACTACTTCTGTTTAAGGACATACTGCACTTATTTAATCTTTTGAGAAGGAAGGTGGGAATTTCATTTGTCTTAGTCTTGCAAAGCATCAACTCCTGAACACACCAATGTGACCAGAATAATTCTGGGGAGAGCACAGCCATTTCAGCCTGAGGAACATCAGCAACCTGTTGGAAAGAAGCAGAGCATGTTCATTAGGCAGAGACGTCAACAACAGCTGACAGGAAATAAGGGATCTCTTCATGCGGGGACATGTTCTTCATGTCTTAGCTTATTATTCATCTAAGGGCAGCCACTGGAGGCATGAGCATGTTTTGTGATTTAATCAGAACACAGTATTCTACAATACCTGTGAGAGATGGGGATTTATTTCCCCTGTTAGTTTGGAGGAAAGAAGGTAGGGATCTTTTCCTGGAGGAACTTTCCATCAATGTATCTTTCTATTGTTTATATTTAGTGCTACATCAAGAGTGCATACACATTCACAACATCATATTTCACACAATTTTATTTATAAAATTGTAATTATCTAACAAATTGCATATAAAATGATTTACTTCAAGTAAATACAGAATACTGCACGACTATTAAAACTATTGTATTGTCCATCATAAGTGTATTAAAACATTCCTAAAAAATGCCTCTATTAAAAACAAAAAACCCAAGAACACAAGTAGCATGACCAAGACCATTTTCAATAGCTTAAAATGAATTACCAGGAAGTTGCATTAACCTCCTAAGTAGACTCCAGTTACATCCATTGAGATCAGCATGTGATACAATACCACAGTCTAATGCTAAAGATGACAAGTAATACATTATGCACCTGATCTATGCTTTTCTCCTAGACTGAAGGGAACCAGTCTGAAATCAGAAAACTAAAGCTCAAGTCAAACTCTACTGGGCATGCAGTTCTGTTATAGCAATACTTTCAATCGGTAAATGTAGTTGGCTTTTACAATCAATTTTACAACTGATAAAAAAGGAACACAAGAGAATACATTCGTATAAAAAGGAATGATACACAAAGGGTAAATGTTGACACCTTGCTGTACACCTTCAGATGAACAAGAGAGAAAGATTCAGCTGGAACTAATGTGGAATATATGTATCAGAAATGGATCTGAGTCATAAACTCACATTCCAATCTTGCCAGAGCTCAAGGTCCATCTCTACTATGTACATGTGAACATGAACGCACATACAGATGGAGCTTTTTATTAACACACTTATATTGCCAAAACACAAACGACAGCTAGCAGTGCTGCCTCGTGCACACTAGTAGTACTTCTTCGTATACTGCATGTTAAGGGAGACAGATTTTTTTATTTCTTTTTTTTAAGGGGCAAAATTTGGTAGCTAATGGATCAAGGTAGTATTATTTCATTTGTTTTAGACAGTTTCATCACTTGTTACAGGTATCTGGAAAAGATTCAGGGAAAAAAGAAAAATGGGAGGAACTGGAATATTCCGCAGTGCTTGACACCTTTTCAGTCTAATCTTCTTCCACCAAAAAAAAACTAATAAAAAACTAAGTAAGCCAAACTACAACCCCAAAAAAAAAACTTTTCTAAATTTTATAATCTCTTTTAAAGTAACAACAACTTTTGTTGTTTAATATTATTTAAATTTTATTGTTTAATAAACAGATTTTTTTCCATTTTTCTCTGAAAAAATATTTTCTCCGGAACCAATTAAAAAAGCCAATTAAATCTGCTTTTCTAAAAAAAAAACCTTTAAAAGTTCTCCCCCAAATTTACCCTAAACCAAAACAAATACATAGGTATTTGCAGAACTGCTATTTCAATGCACCCAAAAGACATACACAGCAAGAAGGGAAAAAGAATTGAAAATTCAGACAATAATTTCTCTCTCTCGTAACCAACCATATTACCCAAGACCAATTTTAACAAGGGCATCTCTAAAGTAGTAAAAACACAGATTGAATCCAGGACAGTTCTTATAGCACCATGTTTAGTCCTGCCACAAGCGATGGCAACCTCCCATAACTGGTAGGAGGTGCTGCCACTGACTCTCCACGTTACAGTCAAATGCTGTTCTAACGCCAAGCAGCAAAGGGAAAAGGCAAGGGAGGCCCTGCCACTAACCAGGCCCCGAAGGGCTGGCCAGGGCTTCACTTTCCTCAGGGGCAGACACCAAACACGGGCAGCTGAGGTGCTCCTGCTGCTCCATCAGCACGAGGGACAGCCAAGACAACCACTTAGGACTCTCCTGATGGACACCTTTCCTCTCCATAATAAACATTTTCAGGGTGAAAAGCAGTCATGTGCAAGAAGCATTTAATCTGCATGCTACTATTTACATTCCAAAC